ACAAAAAACTATAGCCTCTGTTAGTTGTTGGCTTGTCGCTGTTGTTAACGGAACTGCAAAAACAGTAAGAACAAAGTTACCGGGAATGAGACTGAGTCGCAGACTATGTCGCTCTCTTTAGAACATTCACGGTACTGCCTCGAAGGTGTGCAAGCAGCTTGTACGTAATCGGATGTCTCCCAGGATAAAACAACCTCTCAAAACAAGGAAGTAGCGGTGGATTTGCACAGAACCATCGGGCAACTAAACACCGAAAAATGAAGAACACTGCTCGAATATTTGAAGAGGAAGAGAGATGTAGAAGAGAATTTTTTTTTCTGTGTTTAAAATGCTTAACCCATTCTGTTTTTATAGCCAAAATCAGAGAGCCGTTTTTTGAAACCAAGTAACAGCATAACGACAGATTAAGAGGTAATCATGCCTAAAAATCAGCAAAAACGGTCAAGAAGAAAACGGCCTGTAAATCAATTTCAATAACCGTTCAAAATTGATTAACGTTAAAACAATAAAAAAAAAACAGTAACATTAACTCTGACTTAATTAAAACGGTTATAAAGGAATCAGTCAAAACCGTTTAGCAAAAATCAAGGCACTAATTACGTAATTAAGCCTTGTTAAAAAATCAGTTCGGCGTGCGTGTGTGTGATTAGTGGGCTTTGTAGGTAAGTCCTCCCTCTCCACAAAATGTGGGTAGCCCAAGGGCCAGACCTAAATTCTCCACATTCTCTAATATAAGGGAGGATAAACTTCCATTTCCCACCAATATGGGACTTTTTATTTTCCACAAAATTCACACACCAAAACACGCTTGTTCCAACAGTTGCACTTGCACCTTTTGCATTAAAAGCACTAGCAAGAAATGTTCCAACTTCTACCCCTCGGTTTGACCTCCCCTAGTCCCCGACCAAAGTCTATGTGATTATTTTGACCTGTTCAAAAATCATTGTCAGACTCAGAAGTATTTGAGTCCAAAGTCCAATTTCCTTTATATTTCCCCAAATAGTACGGTGAAGACCCAACTACTCACATTTATCCACAATCAATGCCTAGCCCACCCCTCCAGTACTAGTACCTCAAGCCTATAGTCTCTAGTGCTTTTAATGTAAAAGTTTTTTTTTTATGTTTTTTTTTTTTTTTTTTTATGTTTTTTTTTTAAAAAAAACCGTTTAATTGAAAGGATTAGATTTGTCTTCTCTTAGGCATGTTCCGATATACTGAAAACAACTGAACTGATTGGAATTGAACTGAACTGATTGGAGCTGAAATGAACTGAACTGAACTGAACTGAAATATTTGACTATGGATTAATGATTTTTAACTATGGATTAGTAATGAAATTAATCCACTAATAATTATGAAAAATAAAATGAAATTCAAACCACTAATAGTTTTTTTTTGTTTAAATTTTTTATTTTCATGTTAATTAATGCCTGTGAAATTAATCTACTGTAATAGTTTGGTTGTTAAAAAATGAAACAAAAACAAACCAAAAAATAATAATGTGTATAAAAAATTATAACCATTTGAACAATGAATATTATTATTATTATTATTATTATTATTATTATTATTATTATTATTGTCGTTGTTGTAATATATACTAAAAAATATGAAATTTGGCTTTAATTATCATTAGCAATATCATTAGATATAAAGATTAACTTAAAAAGATTGGCCTAAAGGCATGCCTAAACTAAATTGTCATTAACAATATCATTATCTAAATCATATAAAACAAATAAATTAGCAAAAGAACTGAACTGAACTGAACTGAAATTAAGCTCAACACATCAGGGCCTTAATACTAAAACCTAAATTATCTAATAAAAGAAACTAAGAGAAACTTATGTCAACAAATGATCAATTTTTTGATGGGTGTATGTAAGATGACTAAATGAGACTAGACAGACTACATAATTAATCTACAACAATTTCTATGTAAATATGCTTAGATTGTTCCAAATGAAACATTGAGTTAATGTTTTAAGTTCAACCAAACCTTTTCTTTTTTTCTTTTTTTTTTTGGCCTTTATTTTTTTTTTTTTTAAAAGTAACAATTTGACTTTTACACTGACTTTATTTATTTTATTATTTTTCTTTTTTTACTAATGTAAAAAAAAATATTATCATGCAATATATTGAAGGAATAGATACAAGTAAATTATTATAATATTAACATTTTGTAATTTATTTTAATAGACAATATTGAAGATATAATGGTCAAAATTGTGTATTATTAAACGTGTTCGGTTAAATTATTGCAAATTTGCAATTAAAAAAACAGAGAAAATATAATTTTCTTTTTGTACGGAAAGAGACCATACTGAAAGGGTATACCCTTTTCCATCCATATAAAGTTACACAAGAATGTTTGTAAAGCACATTGAGCTTACGTCAAGCAAACAAAATTACACAAGAAAGTTTCTCTGGAGAAGCTAAATGAGGTTATTCCACCCTAGGAAACCTCACTTTTTCCAGCCTCTCATTCCCGGTTTCCTTTCTAATTTTGTAAGTCCGCCTTAAACTATACTCCGTAGTCCGTACTAATCTAAATTTCACTATCAACGTCACAATTATTTCTCATGTCTTATACAAGTATGAGTTTTGTCCTTCTTTATCAAAACGACATAATATACGTAGTATGCTAATACTTTGCTAAGTACTATTTTATTTTACCTTTGCATGCAGTCAATTCCGAAGTCATTTTACAAATATCTTGGTTTAGGAGCAATTATTGGAGAGAAAATGGCCTTATTAAGAGATAAGAGTAAGAAAATTTGGGATGTGAAAATTGAGTTGATTAATAATAAGGTGCAATTCAAAGATGGGTGGGAAATTTTTTGCAAAGACCATGATTTGCAAATTGGTGATTTATTGGTGTTTATGCATCAAGGTTACTGGGTTTTCGACGTTTTCGTCTTTGATTCTACTGCTTGTGAGCGCGAATTTGCAACAATTGATGATGAATCTAATCAATCTAACTATGTAATAGTGCAAGCTTTAAGCTCCTGTGGCGTGAAAAATAATTCAGGTGCCACTCTTAATGAAGCCAAAGGTATATGTTTATGTCTATGGATTACAAAGTATATTAGTATATATATACTTGTATTATTTAGTACTTCCTCTGTTTTGAAAAGTTCGTCTGTGATCGGTTTTCATTGTGAAATAATTCACAGACAAAACTAGAAGAACTTTTAGAAAAGAATGAAATAATATAAAAGATATACAAAGTACGAGTAATATTTTTATTTTTTTATATTTGGTTATATGTGAAGTTAAATTATTAGCAATGTCTATATATGCAGATGTAGCGCATGAAGGGTTATCAAGGGAGAATAATAACGACGTTTTAGAGCAAACAAATATGGGATCTAGACCAAGTACTTTTGTTCTACAGAATTGCAGCTACGAGTCAGTTGCACTAGTGAGAAGTCTAATAACGAATTACTTCATACTCCGCATTACTCTCTCTGTTTGTTAAAGATTATGTGATTTGTTTTAATTTTAGGGTCATTCCTATAAAAATAAGATTGTCTCATTTTTTATTTTAGTGGACATACGTGGTTCTAATTTATGTTACACTATCATTGTGACAAATATTTCACATAGCCACATAGGTGTAATTTCTGTCATTTTTTTGCGTCTTAGCAAAAGAAAGATGCTAAAACTTTCTTTTTAACATTTTTTTTCCTTTGCATGCAGTCAATCCCGAAGCCAATAAATATTGGTGTAGGATCAGAAATTGGAGAGAATAAGATGGCCTTATTAAGAGATAAGAGTAAGAAAATTTGGGATGTGAAGATCGAGTTAAGTAAAAATAAGGTTCAATTCAAAGATGGATGGGATATATTTTGCGAAGACCATGATTTGCAAATTGGTGATTTCTTGGAGTTAAAATATCAAGGTTACTTGGTTTTCGACGTTTCTGTTATTGTTGATCCTACTGCTCGTAAGCACGAATTTTCGACGCTTGATAAAACTTTAATTTTTTTATTTTAACCATTTTTTTTAGACAGTCACTGTTTAAATAGAAAGAACTTTTAGAGACGAAAGAAGGAGGAGCATATAGTATGTTACGGTGTAAATATTTTAGTTATATGTCGATTTTATTAGCAATTTGTATGCAGATGTCGATGAAGGGTTATCAAACAGAACGGAGAACAAGAAGATTCAAGAGCAGAAAACTATTGGATTTAAACCAACTGGGCATCCTTACTGTACTTTAGTTTTGATGAATCATAGCTACAAGTCAGCTCAGCTGGTAAGTGTACTTTAGTTGTATACTTGTATGTACAAATAAACACGTACGTGACATATTATCATGTTAGATTACCTTAGATGGGTAATTAACATACATCCTCCATTTGAAGTTCACATGTATAGTTCGATCAAACTATACCTAAGTCTCTAGACGGAGGATGTATATCAAAGGCGAAAAATCCTTGTATGAGTTAGTACTATTTATGAAGTACTATATGAAATATATATATTTTGTGTCACCTATTATGATTATGGTGTGATTGTGCAGTTCATTCCATTGGATTTTGCAAGAAAAATTGGGCTAGACAAGAGGCAATACGTTGTAATAGATGAAAAAGGACGTAAATGGGTGCTGCCTTTCGAATATACCAAGGGAAAACATGCTTATATTGGAAAATTGCGAGGTTTATATATAGCCAATGACTTCAAAATCGGAGATTTTGTCATTCTCGAGCTCATTCAATCCGGTAAAGAACCTGTCATTAAATTTCATAATCTTCTAAGGTTGTAATTAATTAATTAATTAATGTCAAATGGAGTAATTCTTATCATATTAGAATGAGGTCAATTTTGTACTTGAATCTTAAATCTACTGCACGTGTTAGGTTTTTTAGCTCACTTCAAAATCGAGTTATTGTATTCAGTTTTGATTTAACTTAGGTTTTGAATCAGGTAATCAAGTATGAGTCAGTTTTGTCAAACCTAATTGCACGCAAATCATTTCATGAGCTATTAAATTATACGTACAATGATTAATTTATTCAAACAATCCCTCTAAAATCTAATGAATTAAGCTCTTACATGAAATTCTAAAACAACAACACAACACTCTCCTTTTAAAAAAACATGAACAAAACCACATCTAATTTGGCTTAAACTAATGCAGGGTAAGGCAGAGTAGCAATGTGGTTATGAGCCACAGTACCTATCCAAAGTTTACCATTAACCTCTCTAACTTCACTCACTAATTGCATCACCACACCTTGTTTATCTTCCAACACTTCAAGGATCTTCCCATCCTCATTGAAGAGTGAAATCACCGTGTACATCTTCATCCCCATTAGCCTAGCCAGGATCTTCAAGGGTAGTGGCAGCCGAAAATACATTCGCCTTAGCCATGGGTTGTTGATCATCACCTCTTGTGGTGCTGTCCTACAACAATCTATTGCTACCCAAAATTCACCCTTTTCGTTTAGTCTTACATTGTCTGGAAATCCTGGCAAATTTGCTACCACCTCTACTTGTCCTGTTTTTGAGCCTTCAAGCCACAACTTCATAAGCCTGCGTTACATGTAACAAGTTTCTTAGCATCCATCACCCATCGAAATTATTGTACTTAAATACTAATCACTCATCACATGAGTTAAAATCTTGAAAATCATCTAGGCCATTTTAAGGAAATTGAGTTAAAATACCATCTTTATCTTTTAGCAGTCGTGAATATATTAAGTGGTCCTTATTTTTGTGACGGACCAAATAGAAACATGGTTTATTATTCAGAGATTGGCAAAGTATTTCTATTACTAGTAATAAAAAAGGCATGTTATTAGAGTGAAAGGAGAATGATTATAACCTGCAATTAGTAGTTTCAGTAAAGAGGAGAAAAGTTTGATCTTTTGATAATTGAACTCCATTAGGAAAAGCCAAACCATCCAATACAACATGTGTTTCTTTGGTAGATGGATCATATCTTAGAAGCCTACCAGTGGCTTCTCCCTCCAATAATATCAAGAAGTGGTGCCTGTAACAACCCAAAATCGTATAAGTATTTTGAAACATGTAAAGTAACATAAAATAGATGACAGACGTTGTAATAGAGATTACGAGTTACTACACAAACAAGTAGTAATAGATACATCTCTAAGACATATTTAAGTGATTTTCGGCGTATTTAGGTACATTTGAATCATCGAATCAAAATGAAGAAGATATACTTACACTCTATTGTATCTCTTGCTAGTATCAGTGAAGAAAATGGAGCCATTTTTGTGAATATCAAGATCATTTGCAAAAAGTATGGGATCTCCATCAACATGGGTTGCCAAAGGAGTAGCAAGACCTCCTTCAGGCCCAACAACAAGAAGCCCATAATATGCATCAGCAATGTACAAATTTCCTGTTTCTTGATCGAACCTAAGGCCCAATGGGCGCCCACATAATTGCTCGAACTTCCACTGCTTTGCTGTTGTTGAGTCAACTCCTTTTCCACATAATTTCATTGACCTTTCAAAATTCATTAGCAAAATTTAAGTAATCTCAACAATCACATTAAATTGAAGTGACTTAAAATCTTTTAAATTGATTAAAGTAGCATTATGTAAACCAAAGAAAAGATACACGTTTACAATTAGAGTCGTCTTCTCTAAAAAATGGGACGTAACATATTGTAAACTGATATAGTCAGTGGTTAGAACATTTCATACTAGAGAAAACTAACCAGGTTGATGTCACAGTCGCAAATGTCTCCCATCCAATTTTCTCACCCATCCATCTTACAACTCGACCGTCTGCCAATCCGGTATATGGGCCTCGGCCCAATTTATCAAACTCTAATGATTCCGGGCCAAAAACTTGATCAACAAACTCCAATTTACCGTGTTGGCCCAATCGACTTTGGTTGTCTCTTGGCCAATTTTTCATTACTTCATTGTAAGGTGCAATTTGATTCTTAATTGGCTTGAATTCATACCCTCCCAAAGGACCCAATTCAAATGGATCCATTATAATAAACCCTAATACAACAACTAATACAAGAAGATAAGGGTGTTGCAACAAAGCCTCATCTTTAATTGCATTTTTCTTCTCCATTTTTGTTAATCTTGACAATTATTTTGGCTTCTAGAAGGAAAATGAAGGATGAAAGAGATAGATGTTATGCAAAAAAGAAGGTGAGAAGTTCAAGCTCCTTTTGGTAGGATTTAGAAGAAGAGCATGTATTACTTGTGATAAAATTTTATAGTTGGTTTTGGTTGAGGGTAAGTTTGTTCTTTTGATCTGTTGGCCAATGACATTTGTACTGTTCGTAGAAACTACATATGAAATGAAAAAGACAATATCAAAAGTTATGAAAATTGTGTGATATAACCCATGAATGATTGTTTACTTTACATATATAAGAGCTTGTTTTAGTACCACTTATTAATACATGCATGAAAATAGAGAAGATGAAACCAAAATTTTGTCATGAATTTAAGTCCCACTTGTATGATTTTAGATAGACTCATATAGAAGTTTGTTTGGGCTCTTTTCATGCTAAAAGTACAATAATGCATGTTAATACAACATATATGAAAGGTAGTATTTACGTTAAAGGAAAAAAACAAGTTATCTTTCCATATGTTTATCTACTTTAAAGGGAAATTTGTTTTGGCTCTTTTAGATAGTAAGTACATCTTATTTACTAAAAACATAAAGAAAGATGTGAAAGATTACCTCAAAACTAATTTTGAAATGTCAAGTCGCTCTTTGTATGATGTCCAATTTAATTGGCAATTTATTGTGTTTTCATCTATTGTCGATTTATGTTTGCATCCATGTACTCCTAATATGTCACAAGCTTGCTGGAAATGAAATCTGTTAAATATCATAGGAGTAATATTTCTACAAAAAATATTTAATTACTTGGGAAATCTTGTTAGATATGTTTCCGATAATATTAGTTTCCAAAATATATAACGGAGTTTTTATTTTTGTTTTTGTATATTGAGATATTGTCTTATTACAACACAGCATTAATTCTGTAAAAACAATGCAAGACTCCAAACATCATGAAAAATAAAAAGAATAAAAGGGGAGTACGGCTAGCTACAAGGATCGTATTAGCACGAAGCAATATGAATTTTTAAGGCATAGTTTAAGCACTATAAATGCTAAAAAATGGTCAATTTTTTTAATTTTTTTTTTAAGGAATGATCCAATCTATTTGATTTTGAGCGATTTTTATGGATATGGCTAAAAGAACTAAAAATTCCTAAATTGTTCTAATTGTTATCAAATTCTTTACATACCGTCCACGTCATCCAACCTCTTTAAATATGATTTTTTTTTTCTCTAGTTTAGAGCAAAACCGCTAATTGAATTAGTTGTTTTACCTTACATAAAACTGCTAATTCAATTAGCGGTTTACGCTGATTTTTTTTACTCAGATAAACCGCTAGTTGAATTAGCGGTTTTAAGTAAGGTAAAACCGCTAATTCAATTAGCGGTTTTGTTCACACCCCAAAAATAAAATCATTTTTAAATAGAATAGATGATGTGAACGATATGTAGGGAATTTTTATAAAAAGTGGTGTAATTATGGAATTTTGATTTCTTTTAACAATTTTCATGAAAATCTCTCAATCTATTTGATTGTTTTGAAAGGTGTATAAAAAAACGAAGACAGGATACCTCAAAGTGAATAGTTTATCAAGAGATGATATTAATCAATAAAAATCTTACTTAAGCTAATTATTAGTCAATCCTTTTCTAGGTAAAAGTACTAAAACATTTTTAGTCTTCATACGTAGTATAATCGTTGTTTAATAACATGTAAAATATATTCAATTGAAAAATGTAGAATTTTGTGTGCCTAAAATTATATTTCTGATATGTAATTTAAGCATATAATCACCTAAATTAATTATGTTCAAACCTTTGAGATGCACTCCGGTATGGCTATCAATTGATGCACCCAAGATTAGAATTTTTTTTTAATTATTTTTTTTTTTTTTTTTTGTGGATTTGAAGATTTTGAAATGAAAAAAGATATCAAATAAGCAAGATTATACTCTTGTAAAAAGATGCACTCTAATGCATGTAAAAATCATATTAATTCATGTCATCATATTTCTCCATTATACAAGTAAATTATAATAGACCTTTTTTAGGTGAAGTTTCAAAATTACACTGCAATTTGAGTGAGATTAAGTCCTTTTTTAACAACACACATTAACACATATATATAATTCGTACTTCAAGTTCTTTTTATTTTGTATCATGGTGTCAACCGACAACCAAAATAGATCAATATATTTTAATTTCCAACCACTTCATGTTATATTTTTTAAAAATAACAACTACATATATGAAGTATAATATCATTGGTTGCTTAAAAAGAACCTAGTCCATCTCACTCATTTTCACTGTAAATTTTTTTTTATTGACTTTTTACATAGGTATTTTTACTTAATATTACTTCCTGTATTTCTTTCTTTACTACAATACAACGTTATAGTAACCAAATAACCATTATAGCATAGCATGCATTAAAAATGCATTGTTTGTATAAGATAAATTTAAAAAGGGCTATACATTTGACTCTAAATAAACTGCTTCCATAACTTATGCATGACCATGCTTTATCAAACCACCATTTCCCATGTAATCAGACCATTCAATATTGTTAATTTTTCTCAACTTTGTCTTCATTGGTGTTAGCATGGTTGATGTTATCTATCTTCGGCAGCGAATACGGTGGTGTAAGAGTGTCGTCACTACGTTCCAACCTTTAACATCAATGAACCATCAACAATGGGCCCTATGGTTGTAGGGTAAAAATTTGGATCCAGCATATTCGATGGGATATGTATAAAATTTTGTACATTAACCCGCGTAACATGTCATTGTTAAGCATATTATATATGCAAAGGAAATTACGACTTCAAATTATCTAATGCTGCATGTGATACATTAAATTCTGATTGAGTTTTCATCCTTCATCTAACATCCAAAATGCATATTCCATTATTAAGGAACAACAATAAGAGGCAGAACGTACAATAGCTAAAATTTTGGATGTTAGATGAAGGATGAGAACTCAATCAAGATTTAATGTATCACATGCAACATTATATAATTTAAAGTCGTAATTTCCTTTGCACATATAATATGTTTAACAATGACTTGTTACGTGGGTTAAACGTACAAAATTTTATACATATCCTATCGAATATGGTGGATCCAAACTTTTACCATGCAACCATAGGGCCCATTGTGTTGATGGTTCATTAATGTTGGAGGTTGGAACGTAGTGACGAAGCTCTTGCACCACCGTATTCGCCGCCGAAGATAGATAACATCAGCTTGCTAACACCAATGAAGACAAAGTTAAGAAAATCAACAATAACAAGTGGCCAAATTATATGGAAAATTGTGGTTTAGATGAAACACGATCCTGCAAAAGATATGATAACAATTTGTTTACGTAAAATGAATAGTCCTTTAAAGTTATGCTTATACAATGCACTTTTTAATGCATATATACTATTTTAAGACATAGGTCAATCCTATATCTACAATCAAGTGGATTAAAATTTTGTATGATTTTAAAACTACATTAGATCGAAAGGCCTCTCGTGGAATGTTCATTGTATAAAAAAGGATGTAAAAGAGAGTATTCACCAATGTCAAATCTCATCCTCGATGAACAAGGTTTTTTCCAATTAAAAGATTATTTTATCCAATTTATATTCTATTTTCTAGTTAGTTTTTATTTCTATATATGGTAGATGTCGGGTGATTTTTATTAATGAATTTATTTTATTTAAAATAAATAACTTGTTTGCAAGGAAAAAGGAAACATAAAATTTTTATGGTTCAAGGCCTCTTTTTAGCTATTTTTAGAATTAAATATAGTTCTCGGTAAATAGTTTTAATTATTAAATTAGTCATTTCAATAAAAGATATAAATTATTGAGTTTAGTACTTGATATCAAGTAACCAACTAATACCAGCAACTGGTACATAACTACAATAACAACAACTTGCTCAAAAAAGAATGAAATTGACATAATAAACTAAAGTGTGATAAGAGACTAGGGAGACAACAAAATTGAGGATTTTTATCCTAATTTTAACTCCATTGCGACGTCATGTATGCCAAATTCCAATTTTTTTGTGAGCACGTTATTTTCAATGTAACCAATGATACAAGTTATTGTCAATAAATTACAGTACAAAATTATCCATGTAATTATAAACATAAACTAAAAAATTAAATGTTAAACAATTTTGTATTATTACCATTCTCTCTTCCTTTTTCCCACTATCAAAAAATTTGTGTCCAACTCTATATATGGTGCAATATTAAAAGAACGGAGAAAGTAAGAGAAAAGGTCATCAATGAATTTACTCTAAATAATTATAAGTTTTTTCCACACTCGTTGAGGTTGTTATTAATTCGTAATACACAATTCAAGTAAGACATCACTAAAAAATCATAAAATTTTCATCACTTTTATTCTAGTTCATGACATATTGACATCTTTAAATTTGCGATCTAAAAGAGTAAGTAACCCCTAAGTGCAAATTATTTTTAAGTATATGAATCTGTATCAAACAATAGATATATATGTTGCACAGGGCTTAAACAAGTCACGATTAAATGACACTTAATTAAGGATGTATTATTATATTTACCTCAATTACATCTTTTCCCCTGAAGAAGAAGCAACATCATCCATCACGCTACGAACTTTGATAGATAATAACCCTTGCATTTTTAATTTGCATCTGTCTAGTTTAATTGTAAAAAATGAAAGTATGAATTAGCAAGCTACAAATAAATAGATATTTAAATAGATCAATAACGCAATTGCAATATCAATCAAAAATACTTTCTATGATCTTCGAATTGAATTATTGATGTTAATAATATCCTTTATTAATTAATGATAGATTTTTTTTTTTTTTTTTTTTTTTTTTTGCGTGTATTGTAGAGATAGTCAAGATTTTACGGTCAGTATGACCGTTAAGTAGGTTAATGTTGTTGCTCTGTACTAATTGTAACCTTAATTTACAAGATTTTTTTTTTTTTTTTTTATCAATATCACTATACCCCCAAACATTTTGAAATGTAATATTTACTCATTTCATGAGCACATTCAAGATTTAACCTTGCGAAAATAAATTAATTAATTGAAATCAGATGTAGAAAAATGGATTAGTTGATTCATTATACTAAAGTCTAATTGAAAATTACATAAATAATTTAACTTGAAGAGGGCAAAAGAATGATAAAAAAGAAAAATAATAGGAATTGAAACAAAATGATGATTGTATCATAGCATCAAACATTTATGTATAAATGATGATTGTATATAACAAAATACAAATTGAAACATCGAAAGGTATATATAAGAATGCATACCAGATTGAAAATTGTATTTATTCAGCGGAAAAATAAAAGCGCATCTAATTCACCAAAAGAAATTTTGTCGAAATATTTCCACTAGAGTGATCCATTATACAATTTTTTTTTTTTTTTTTTTTTAAGAAAAAAGGTAAATCTTTGAAGGTATTAAAGTTAGGAGGAAGAAGAAAAGGTTATGAAAAAGAGGAGGAGAGAAGAAGATGATTTGTTTTGATGCAATAGTATGGAAATTAGAAGAACTATTTATAAAGAATAACTAAAATTAGGGTTTACATTTTGACAACCTAAGGTGGCTCATTGAATTCTAATGGATAGGATCAGACCATCTATGTGTAAAAGGAAAAATGACATTCCACGTCAATCTTACATAGTTTTATTTAGCAAAAGAAAACTATGTAAGAAAATTCTAAGAAAATTTATTATTAATTATTAAAAATAATATCCCTTGCTTCTATATTTGGTTGATTCTTCTGGGATAACAAAAATAAATGCGTTCCCACTGGATAAGATATGAAATCAAACTCATAAGGTAAAAAACGATATACTAGGATGTACCAAATCTTTGAATAATAATGGAATAACAATATTACATGAAATCAACATAAAATAATAAACATATACACCCTTTGTTTTACAAAGTTCTTTAGCTTTCTTCCAAAAAAAAAAAAAAAAAAAACTTTTGATTTATCGATTTACGTTTTGTATTTTAATTTTTTTTTATAGAAATTCTAAGTTTTTACGTGTCAATATGATATTTTAATGTTACATAAATAATATAAACGGTTAGTTTAATCAAAGTAATTTATACACATAAATACTTCGTACTTCGTGGTTCATAACCCTACTCGATACCAGATTACCAGTCATATATTTACCTTTTTTGATCACTTGAGGATACGTATCTTTAAGCTATGTTGCAATAAACGTAACGAAAAATCTATCCAAAGCCTGTTCAAATTTGGGTAGGGTTGGGTTGGGCCTATGGGTCGGGCTGATTTTGGTCATCTCTAAATTAGATTATACCCTACTTTTAAAAATACGGCTATTTCACCAAATGCCACTGAGCAATTGCGAATTTCTCCAAATGTCATCCGATTTTTCAAAATTCACCAAATGCCACCGAGTTTTAACAAAATACATGCAACTAGCCTTTCCTTAGGTGTTGCGAGAAAAAGAAAAGAGTTCATAGCTTTAAACAACCGTTTTTTTTTTTATTGTTGTACATTATTACTTCTAATTTTTTTTTTAATTGTCAAATGATTATTAATCTATAAAATACCCATAAACGGATAAGTATGATTGTCAAGTGATTATTAATCCATAAAATACCCATAAACAGACAGATATGATTGTCAAGTGATTATTAATCCATGAGTAGAAAATTCGAATAATATATATATTTTAGATAAAAGTTTTTTTTTAAAATTAAATAAACAACCCAAACATCGTATGGGGCACAAAACTAGTGTCACAATAAACTTAACGAATAATCTGCCCAAAGCCCGTTTAAATTCGGGCCAGGGCCGATCGGGCCAGGCTGATTTTGATCAACTGTAAATGAGATTAACTTCGTATACTCGTAGAATTACAACCCAGTGCGGCAGTACACCCATCTTTGTCATCACTTCTCTTTTCGCTAAAATCTCAGGACTCAGCAGTTTGTGGGTCCCAATTACAAATTTTGCTGCTCCCAAATTAATTCTCTCTTAATTACTCTTTCATTTCTTCAAAGATCAAATCTTTTCTATTATTTCATCCTCCATTAAAAAACCCCATTCTTTTCTTTTTCCACAAATATCTGTTTTATTTTTATTTTTTGAATTAAAGGTAAAGAAGGAGTCGGATCAATCACAATTAAACTTTAAGGTCAGATTTTCATTCTTTATGATTGTAATTAAATTAAATTTCATATTTTTTGGTCACTTCGATGCGCCAATTTGTTGATTTTTTTTTTCAGCTTTGTGTAAGAATATCATATAATATGATTGTTTTGTAATCTGGGTTTTGTATTTTTTTTTTCTTTTTGTAATTATTCATATTATGTGGTAATTGCATCCTTAATGTATATGAACTAATTTTGTGTCAAAAAAATCTCAATTTTTGACTGTGAAAAGATTGCTTTTATTTTGGTTAATGTGTTATTCTCATTAGAATGAATGATTGACTTATTTTTGAGCTCCCCTCAAAACAAATAAAAAAACCTATAAAAAGAAAAGGATTGTTACAATTGAGGAAGTGAGTCTATATTCCCAAATTGTTAGTCTAGTTTATGATGACCAGGAGAGAAATACATGGTATATATTGGAAGTGTGAATGAAATAGATGATGCTATAACTTAGTTGAAGAGTTGCTAATATATAACTCATGAGTTTCTTTCGCGCCAATGCGAAAAAAGATTAATACAACAAACAATATTGCAATTCGAACAAGACTACAAGATGTTAATTGTAATAAGAATTCGTAGTTTCAATTGATAGTGGGAGCTAAGTGACTGAATTGCAAAGATGAGGTTAGGCACTATGTGTGATCAGATTGATACTTTACTGGATAAAGGAGGACTTAGGAGAAGAGATGAAGATGGAGTAGAGACTGGAAGAGTTGTGAGAAAATGTTTGCTTGAATCAAGGGGGAAAGAGGGAATTGAACTTTTACTATAGTTAAGCGAGACATACAGATGAATAGTTTCTTATGTCTGTGAGTATGACAAAGGACATTGTGATGATTATATATAGGTTTTGATTAATATCTTGCTAAATTGTCCATTTTGGAAAGATTTTAATCATTGACACGGGTGAGATTCTTGCTCCGTATAACCCTCATCCTACCCTATTTCAACCCACCTTAATAGATATTCCGTATCCAGATATAGGTCTATAAGTAAAGAGTCAAAGACATTAACTGATGTGATCTTTGTAGATACGTTAATGGTTTTCTTCCTCCCGTATCTAACTCTATGCTTCCCGCATCTAGCAGTATTTTGAGGTCAGACCATTAAATGAGACGGCTATATAACCATAACCCCCCCCCCCCTCCTCCTCTTCTCCCCCTTCCTCCTAAAGGGGGGGGGGGTGGTTGGGCTTGGGATGATGGGATCATATGAAAAATTGTTTCTTATGCAGTGACATTTTACCATCTTTGAGATGCCACGGCCCTCAAGATCAAATTTTTCTACAAGAGATGTTCCAGCTGACTATAGATCATTCTTTTTGCTCACTTTCTTATGTTCATTCTTATTTCTAGATTGATCATAAACAAATGGGACGAACTCTGATATGGAACCATCATTCAATTAAGACAATTACCTCCTCTCTGATTTTGAGAGCTTGGTTGCTTACCAATCCCTTCCTCCCTCCTAAAGAGGAGGTTGGGCTTGGGATAATGGGATCATATGAAATTTAGTTGCTTGTGCAGTGATTTTTACCATCTTAAGATGCTACAGCCCTTTAAATTTTCAACAAGAGATTTTCTAGCTGGCTTTAGGTTATTCTTTTGCTTGCTTTCTGAATTTGCTAGTGTTCATTTTTATTTTTTGTACCGATCATAGACAAAAGGGGCTAACTCTTTTATATTTACTTTTTATATGCAACTTTGTTGCATTGAGAAGAAAGACTTGAAACAGTAATATCTTTATTGTCTATCTATTCTCTTTACCAACACAATCTTTGTTACAGATAGTCTTTTGTGGTAATGGCTAAGCATGATGATAATGATGAACCTGAATGGATAAGAAGGATAAAATCAGAAGGTGCTGTTCCTTTGCTTGAACCTGACAACTGTCCCAATGGTTGGGCTTCACCTTCCGGGGACATATTTAAGGTTAGGGGTCCAGAATACTTTACAACTAAACTGAAGGTTCCTGCTGGGGAATACCTTTTGAAGCCCTTGGGATTTGATTGGATTAAAAGTTCTTCAAAGATTTCTGAAGTCTTAAAAGATCCAAATAACCGCATCAGAAAAGTACTTGACAATGAATTTCCAGAGGGAAACCAACCTTTTGTTTGGGCTTTTAATCTTCAACTCCCAAGTAAAGAGAACTACAGTGCTATTGCATATTTTGTGGCTACTGAACCATGCCTAGAAGGTTCACTGATAGATCAATTCATTAAGGGGGGTGATGGACTTCGAAATTCAAGGCTTAAATTAATTGCAAATATTGTGAAAGGGCCCTGGCTTGTTAGGACAGCAGTTGGAGAACAGGCCATCTGCGTTATTGGGCGAGCCCTTTCCTGCAAGTATTGTGTAGGAGAAAAGTTCTTAGAAGTGGACATTGATGTTGGCTCTTCAGTGGTTGCTAACGCTATCGTTCATCTAGCCTTTGGTTATATAACATCACTAACAGTTGATTTAGCATTTCTTATTGAGAGCCAAACTGATGCAGAGCTTCCTGAGAGAATCCTAGGGGCTTTTAGATTCTCTGAACTTAACCCTGATTCAGCCCAGTCATTTGAAGCATCATCTGCTGCGATCCCTATTACTTCATCCACGCCACCTGGTATAAGTTTCTGGAAGTCACTTGGACAAGGCTTCACCAATCTTCTTCATCCAGGTGCTAGTGAAGCTGGTGCAGTTGCTGACGCTCCACAAGTGAATGGAACTTCAGATCACGCTGATAATGTTGAAAACACAAAATCTACGTAAGTACATCCATTGCTTAGAGAAATAAGTGACTTAATAATGTGAATACATTATATATTTGAAGTAAATTGACGAGTCTTTGTGACATCTAATTTCCGACGTGGGGGGAAGGGGGGGGGGGGGCGCAGAATTTTTCCTTATTTAATCAGCGGTTGTCCAGAATATTTGTGTCAGTTTAATGTGTTTAATCTTATGAACACAGTCATTTCTAGGGCCTACTTGCTAAAGCTATATATAATTGTTAGTTTGTCACTCTGTATATGACTTGAGTGTGTTTAACATCTTTTATCCCTATACCAATCACCTAGGATCAACATAGTATAATATATGATGACTGACTTTCCTCTTCCATAGCTTATATTTGCTTGTTTTGCTGCTTATATTTGAGTTCTTAAATCTTATTGTAATGGCTCTAGTTTTCCAAATGGGTGACACCTAACTAGGCAAATCTACTATGTTCTTGAAACATGTTTGCTTATACCGAAATTTTCAACTACTATTGTTTTTCATTTTCCAGTTTTTCGACGATGCTTGTTTCTGTATAAATTGTTAATTGACATATAGTATATTTCAACAGAGAATTAGGACTTTCTGATTCCTTGTCACTTGAAAATGGCCACTTTTGCTCTTTCTGAAGTTGTTAGAATACTAATTAAATTACTGTTAGCATAGATATTCCTTTTATATGTTCACATTCTTCTTCTCACCAAAAGTATGAGAATTAATATGATGATAGTTTCAGTATGTATTAAGATGTTCACTGGGTGAAATTGTTGTCGTAGTCTTCTCTAGCATAGAGTTCTGAATCCTCTGGTTTCTAACTAGAATTGATCAATTTACTATTCTATAATCTTAGTAGCACATATATGAAGAGGGGAGACACTTGGTAATGATTTATTATCATGCAACCTACCCTATCTATGGTAGTGGTAGTATTTCTATGTGAAGAAAGGTTCTCTTTTTAATTCAAAATATAAATAGAAGTAAATCTTCATAACTAGGACCTATATTACTAGTATATCTGTATATAGATCCGTGCGTGAGATTTCATTTGAAACCAAGTAATGGTATAATAGGCAGTTAAACGTTTGGACACCAGGTCCCTATGAGTTAGCTTATACATATTACAATATAGACTTTCTAAGAGGCAAAGTTACATTCTGATGTTCAAGGTTTGATGCAGGTCATCGTAGGTTTTGCTCAATAGAATGGGTCAATGCGACCAATGAATTGATTCGTGTTGGTATCATTCATCTTTAAAATGAACTCAAACTTTACACTGCACAACCTATTCTACTAATACAATACATGCCACCTCTACAAATTTGACATCTCTTCTTGCTTTTGCGGCTAATTGAGTTTAATATAATTATATAAACATAAGATAACCATCATTCAGAGCATGAAGTTACTGCTACTCTTCTAGTACTTGGTTCATTAAGAGGGGAAATAGAGTACCGTCAAACTGACATCTATGGTTTGAACATTGTGCTACTATAATATTATTTCCAGAATGCAATATTTTCGTTTCTATTGGTCATTGTTTTGTGTTACTTGACTTTATTTCTGTTTTTTCTTTTTCTTTTTTTTTTTTTTTTTTTTTGCTTCTCAATTGCATATAGAGGTAATATAATGTTGTACCATCTTGTTGAGATGCTTATATCTATACTGTTGGTTGCAGATGAACCAGGTAGCTTTGAGGACTTCAAGCACATTATAATGCTCAGGACAGTCGTGAACGATTTGCGTGATTGCAATAAGGATTCTACATTCTCGTTGTCATTGTTTGTTCTACATGCTGATTCTTTTTCATAATTCTGTCAACCTCCATGTCAGAATTCAGATTTCTTTCATTCATTTAGCCCAGTCTAGGATACAACTATAGCTACAAATCTTTTATTGTTGATTGTTTATGTACAGTTTTAAATTCTAAACATATATCTCAGTTTATGTGTATGTCACTTATATTACCTGGTTTGTGGTTTCTTTTTAGATTGAATTCTCGCTTGTTTTACACAGTTTACTGAATGAAGGACTGAAGGTTATTTAGGAGTTTCAAGTTTTCAACTGGTGGCCAGTTGGTTGTGTTATTCTTCATACCAGTTATCAGCTTACAGATTTACAGATCTTGCATGGGAGCGGACCGGATCTGAAAATGACGAGTGGTCGAGTGGGAACTGTAGTAAGATGATGCTTTTCCAAAGTTGGAAACATTACATACTGAGAAAATTTGTTTAGACAGTTTTGTTTGCTAATAAAATAAACTTATTTTTTCCGTAATCTCAGTGTTATGACGAAATATGTACCGATATGAAACAGATTAGTAACAAATCTATGTATGCTACTGATGCATTATTCTGCATATCTCATGATAGAATCATATAATTTGGTTTTTAGAACAAAAGAGAAATTCTTTATCTAAATCTTTTCAAATCTTAGCTACACTCTGAATTGTAACAGAAGAGAAATACGAAGTAAAAGCTAACGAGAATGTATAATTTTCATCTGAGATTCTAAAAAGAATTACAAAAGTAAGCACAGCTTCAGCTTCGCCTGAGATAGTTCATGCTGCCAAGCAATAGCAACTTCTGATTCTCAAGTCTACCTTTTAATTATTTAATACTTCGTATGAACCACAAACTTTGCATCCTGTGCAAGGGAACTGGTTATGTCTAACAGAAAAATGAACAAGAGATTGTGAATCAAATATGAAGAAAACATACTCCCCCCGTTCCAAAGATAAAGCACGGTTCATTTCAATCCTTCCCAAAACAATGTAACAAGAGATTGTGAATCAATTATGAAGAAAACATACTCCCTCCGTTCCAAAGATAAAGCACGGTTCATTTCAGTCCTACCCAAAACAATGTGCTACCAATAAATTGAACAGGTTAAAATTTAAATATTTCCATATTACCTTTAATACTCATAATATTCTTATTAAGATCCCAAAGAAAGAGTACATTAGTATTATAGGTAAATTCCTTCGGAATGACCCTAAACAAAATATAATAAGTATGAAAAAACCAGTTCGTTAACGGTCGGCATTCCAACAGGAGCCTGAAAGGCAGAATTGGTCTTCTACATATACATACACATACATGTGTAATTCGTGAGCGGAAGGGAAAAAAGGGAAAAAAATACTCAATTTTATCCAGGTATATTTTAAGAACAATCGACATTATCTTGTCTACTCAAGAGCAGAACTTATCACCATATTCAAGTGGGATCAACTGGATACTTGAGCAGACACAGCAATCAAAACAGTAAAGAAAATGGACGAAGATCCAACACACCAAGAATGAAAATAGTAACAACGAACAAGTAATGCCATTCAGATTTACATTCATCTGCAAGCCCCAAGTGCCCAACAGAGCAGTGTGAAGATTGGTTCAACACAGTGATACAGATAGAAATGAGAAGCGAGGGCGAGACAAAGAAAGGACTCACAATCCAGTAAATAATAAAGGATCCCCATAAATGATGACACAGATAAACTTGGACTCATTTGAAAAACTAGGCAGTGGCTAAGCAATAAACATCACCATAAACACCTAAATACACTTAACCAGACCAGATCATTTCATATAGTCCACCAGAATTAAGAGTTTAGCCAATTATGCAGATTAATCCCGAACATGGTCACAAACATTTATGACACAAGCTTGTCCTTAGGATATGTAGAGATTTGAACATCCCATTCATTAAACTCAAAATGCAGTGGTTTAAAGAGTATTGTTAAGTTGAATTTCAGCCACAACTCAACTCAACAATCAGCAATGCCAATAAATATTTTTCTCTAATGCGATCCTTTTAAACCCTGAATGAATACATTTTAGAGACATAATCTTTCTCATTATAAATAATTGACATAAAAGAAGCCACGAGATATTGAGTTATTGACCAGGACAAAAAGGCGTCAAGGAACGGGGGTTGTTCTGCAAAACTTGTGCTCTACTTACGGTTCAACAAACTACTAAGATTAAATGCTAACAAATGATCATGAACAGGAAAATTAAATATCAGCAAACTACTTAAGGTTCAGCAGAATGCATCTTTCAAGGATTACTTGTTCAATTTGGAAATAAATTCCATTATTGCATCACCGTAGTAGGCTAGCAATTCAAGCTAAGCAAATGTTCTCCGGAATGGATTTGGATAGATCAAGACAAGACTGGGAATTTTTTTTTTTTTTTTTTTTGGGTCATGTAAGATTTTATAGATTTCTCTGTCAGTTTGTGTAATCCTCATGAGACAACAAAGAAAATTAACAGTTGCATAAACTAAAATGTGATATTCAAAGCGTGAAGTTCACTGTTGTGCAGCATCTGAAACCAACCAGGTTTCGACATGTCTATGAACCTAAGGCCGGATACAGAACAACTTTCAACCTACATTAATTTTCATGGGGACCCTGCATACAACTATGCCAAGAATAAGTTCACATACAACAGAAACAAGAGACTATGCTTCCTCATCTAGATCAAAAGTGACTACAAAAGTACAAAGCAACTCTTATAAGAAGTTAAGTCAGCCAAAATAACAATATGAACAGTTGTAGGATGGTAATGATTTCAAGAATGCTTAATTATGTCCAGTCATGTCTCATGTACAAAATGGAACAATATTATAAGAATAAGATTTTCTCCCTCTATTTCCCAGCTGAAAGATAAGATGCAAACACACTCATCTGATCTCAATTGCGTTACCATACAATATACAAAGATATTGGAATCCCAATTTAAAGCTGACCTTTAATGAGCCAACAGAACAGGTAAATATACTGCACCATCAATATGTCAAAATCTTCTTTATCCAGGTTGGTTGAACAAGAGCAAAAAAAGTAGTACATTTCTAAAGAGGTCAGCAAATGCAGAACAAGCTGTGGCTCCCAGAAAGTCTAAGGATCGCAATAAGAAACCACCTCATGTTCAAAAAGAGTCAGCCAAGCATGGTGTATATATCTAGTATTCTTGCTCCAATCATAGACATTTTGAGGCCATTAAAGTTTAAACCAATTCAACGCCTCCTGCTGGCACTGAACTCATCTGCAGTGTTCTACCGTTGCCAGGTGCAAGAAACCGAACAGTGGGCAGCGAAGTTTCAGAAACAGATTCAATCTCAAGGAAATCAAAACCATAAGCACCAGAACGTTTCAAACTCCCAACAAAAACAAGAGCAATCCATCCTAACAATGTCAAAGCCCAGTAGTTGTTCATCCCATGAATCAAACCCCATCCAATAGCATACCCAACAATAATTCCTGACAAATGCCCAAGAAAACTTGCTTGAGGAACAATAATCGATGTGAAGATAAGCGATTCAAACGGTGCAAAACTAATAGGAAGAGAAAGAAGCCCAAACAAATTCAATTTAGAAGACGGTTGCTTCACAGACAAAATCGTCATCCACCCAAAAACAACACAGGAATACCCAACAGCCGTTACTCGTCGAAAATGCTCTAACTTTAGCTTATTAATCAGAATATGATAAGCCCATAACACCAAAACACCAGATAATACAATCAACACAAGAGTGTAATGAAGATAAAACTGAAACCCAAGACCAATGTCCCCTAATTGCTCCACTACACCAAGACTCCAAAGAGCACTCATATTAAACACAAGATGAATCACACTAATATGCGCGAAAGCCGACGTGATTAACCTCCAATGATGCCCTTCAAGAGCAGTTTCATAGCTCAATCCCACCTGCGCATACCCAATATTCTTCTTTTGGATATAATACCAAATTGCACTGCAGATTGCTATAATACAACTAGTTGCTGGTTTTTCCAATATCTCATATATCAATGGCTTCCCCATTCTAATAAAAACAATAAACCCTAGTTTTTCAACAAGATTAGGGGTAATCCCAGGTCATAAATTGCAATTAAACCCACTAAATTAAGCTCAAGAATCACACAATCAAGGGTTTAACGCAAAATTTATGAAAAACTAAATCTAAGAATCAATCAAGAGATCAAATTGTTAAGTAAAAATGGTAAAGATTACAAATTTGTGAAATGGGTACCAAGAAATGTACCTCAATTGACGAATTCCAATGAAAATTTCAACTCCTAAGACCAGATTAAGTGCAATCCGCAAAATAAATTGGGGTAATTTGTGTAATGAAAATTAAGCAAGGGTTTTAAGTTTAAAATAGCGGCAACAAAGAATTGAATCACTCGAAACAAGAGAGAAATAGATGAAGAGAAAGTAGGGGCACCGACGAAATTCTGGAAGTTATTTTTGATTGTGGCGTAAGCAATAAGCAGTTGGTTCGAGAGTCCTCCGTACCTAACGATTCAAGGAAGTGTGGTATACTGGTATGTGCACCTCCGGCTCCCTACCTAGCCATGGCTTATGGCTAGGTTGATCGAGCCACGCCTATATGGGTACATAGCCGGTATCGGACTATTGGTAGGAAGGTGTAAATGTGATTAATATAATCAGATTAGGCTCGTATTTTATTCATCTTACAGCGTAGTCTGTATGTGAAAATACGAGTAATTAGTAAGCATAGATTGATACCAATTGGCTGTTGGTGTAATGGTGATTGGGGTTACACTTGGTAGGGAGGATCGCGTGTTCGATCCCTCGTAACAATAATTGGAAGGGGACTGGAACCTAATCACCCATAACTAATCCTCGAATCCAAATTAGTCCAAAAGGTGAATTGGGTAAAACACCAAAAAAAAGTAACTATAGGTTGATTGATGTATGAACAAAACTTTTAATTAATGATAACATTAAAAAATTTCGAAATTTAATAAACAAAACAATGATTTGAAAGATGGGCTCAGCAAATAATGTACAATATACGCAATAGTTAACATACTTACAGAAAACTCCCGATAATAATAAATTAATACATACTTTATATCCCCCTACTATAATATCATCGGGGCCGATCTCCGACTCTTTATCTTTACAATTGACCTCTAAGTAATTTCATCTTATAAATGTGTATAAAATCATTGCATATAAGGTATTCTGTGATCAAATCCAATTTCATGATAATTATGTGTATAAAACCCTTGCATATAAAGGATTATGTGATCAAATATTGGGAAGAAAAGAAAAAAAATTATTCTAAATTTACATTTTAACTAAAACTTCCTTAGTAAACACTTGCTTATAGTATAATTTTAATAACTTTGATGCTCCTTTAAATTAAGATTAGCTTAAATCTCGTACAACGCATGGTTTTACTATATATTATAGAGATTTACAACAATTTATAATTCAACAAATTTTTACAAATTATTCTCTTCTAAATAGTGAATTTTAAGTGTACTCGTATGATATAAAATATGAATATCTTTTTAATAATATATCTACTTAAATTTCTATATAAGTAGTTGCTAAAAGACTTATTAATTTGGGAGGGAAGATTGCATTCCATTGAAATAACTAACATTATTTTTTTTCTTAATATAAAAGATGAGAAAGATTTAGAATAGAAAGAAAAAATTATTTCGTAACATGATTTTGGAAAATAAAATAAAATAATTTAAAAAAATTAGAGGGAAATTTTTTAACCATGAGCAGATTATTATAGATTGGAGTGGGTACTTTATATTAGCAATTGTTATGAAATATTATATTTTGTGGATATCCATTATCCTCCTTTATCATTTCGGAATATTCTAGATCTAGGGTTTATTGTTATCTAAACAAACCCTAGTTATATTGTATGTATATATATCCGCACTCTATGGAATAATATAGACTGATCTATTCTCTCCCCAATTTCTCTCTCGTTTTTTTTATTTCACAACACGTTATCAGCACCAATGCTCTACGCAAATCGTTTAATTTAGATCCGAATTAAAGGTACACAATACATATACTACCAAATTGCTTTATGTAAATAATTTATGTACAAGCGAACATGATTTTTTTTTTTTTTTTTGATTGAACATGATTTGTTGGAGTCAGAGAACTACCGTATTTTGTTCAATCAATCTTATCATTTGAATAGTTAGTTTTTAGCCTTCTATTTCTGTCTTCAAAATACCTAACTCATTCTAGGTGAACGATTCCCTCACTTGTGCCCTCTTTGTCTAATGAAACCAAGAAATTCATTTTCTTTGTTTTTTTGAACTATTAACTGGCGTATCATTTTCATTTATATTACTTGTTGTGGTTGGTTGATGGTAAAACAGAGTTGCAGAAGCAGATTTAATAGCATATTGTACTTTGTAAATATGGTGTTCAAGTGAAGTGGTTTTTGTTGATTGGTTTTGACCGACTACTGGCCTTTAGAGCTATTGTACTGTGACCTGCTGGGTTTTAGAATTATTTGTAGACTTCTGGTGACTACTAATGATCGTCAGTTTCTCTATCCGTTAAAGTTAAGGTGTTTATGCCAGTGAATTGGTGTGGAAATCAGAGTCTGCAGATGACAAATGAGCTTTTGCTATTGCCCTTATCAGTTATCACTCATTACATAGCTTAGAGAAAGAGACTAACTGGTATAGCATGGTCTTAACTAATCAGCAGTCGCTAATATTCATAGGTAGAAAGGATAATGCTATAGACTCTCTTAATGCCTTTCTTGTTGTCTATTGTGTGCATTTTTGGTTCTTCAATGCTGGAATCAGGGTTGGATTTATAATACTCCATTATTATTATGTGTAGGTAAATAATTATGTGTTCAAGTTAGCATGAATCAGTTTAATTTTCATGACTACCCATGAATTTTATGAAATGCTCCATATTGATTTATTCGATTGATTACGCTTAATTTGTTAAATCAGCGTTATCTTTAAACATGTGATTATCTATGTTAAACTGATTATTTGTGCGAGATCCGATTTTATTGGTTAATCGCTATCCTAGAAATTGTATGTTGTACGCTTTGTTTTTGATGAAGGTTTACTATGTACTTCGTAAGATTTTGGTTTTATTGATTTGTGTGAGGCCTTGTATTGACTTTGTGTGTTATGATTTAAATAATAAAATTATGGTTTTATTGGTTTTTAATATTATATTTGTTTTCATTGAATGATTACTTCACTGCTTTATCTAATTAAAGATGTCGAACTATGAAATCAATCATGCTAAGTATAATTTTCATATCTTTCGTTTGTTAATATGTATTATTTGGTTAACCAAGTTGGATCTTTTATCCTTATGATAGCATGGGGGTTTTGACTGAATCAAAGCGAAACAATATGAGCACTTCAGTGTTAATGTTCTATTCGCATTATGTTTATTGAGCACTTACACTATGTTGGTTATAAATAAGATGTCTATAAGTAATCCCATAGAGGTAACAATCTATGTTGTTTATATAAAGCCCAAAAATGATGGTTACTTATGGCCATTTTTTTCTTCAGCATACAAGATTTGTCTTCGATAAAGAATAGGCAGGATCGGCTATTGGATATTTGACCTTAAAAAGTTCAAATTGGCTATTGTCATTTTATTTTTTTGAAAGAGCTATTGTCATTTTATATAAGGTAGTATTTATATTATATTGTGCCACTTTTGATGTGAAGACCTATATGTACGTGGTTGCTATGTATTTTTGATCTTGATGCTATGCTTTGTTATCCTTGTATAATGATCTACTTGTAATTTTTGAAGATCATAAAATTACTTATACTTTTATGGTTGTGATGATTTATATATATATACGATGTCATATTTTATTGGCCACATGAATGTTTGTTAGACCTCAATTCGTTCTAGGTAGCACTTGTTTGAAGATGAATTTGACAACAATCATTTATTGTGTTAATTATATGTGAAAGGAGTTCATTGATGAATAATACTTTGTAATGATTATGTATATTACATGAGATACTAATGATTTCTTATGAAATGTTAAGACAAGTAGTGTACAACTAATACACTAATTGCATACTCCTTTTCATATATGAACTGTAAGTTCTAGATATAGTTCATGTACATATGCTTCATAATTGACTTTATTAAAATGATCATATGATTTGTACAACTATAAGGTTTTAGTATGAATATGCTGATTGATGTGCGATTAAATTCAATTATAATTTTATGTACGGATGTACCTACTTAAAGTTGGATCATTGAAAGTAAATTAAATATGATTGCACAATATTTATTTGAGCAAGAGATATATGACATTGTGGAAAACGTACTTGTAAAAAAAAAATATTTATTATGCCCATACTTATAAGAGATTAATATAATTGGACAAGAGTTACGAGTAAGAGTTTATAAGAATAATTTTATTATGCTTGATACATGCATTGCTAAAAGAATTTATGCCTTAAAAGGTGGAAGAGATTTAAAGGTTGTTAAATTCATTTCATGCCCCACATGCAAGGATTAGGGGGAGATTGTATTTATTTCATTATTTTATGTAATCCTTGTACATGAATAATAAGATATGTTGATGGTTAGTTTGATACATACTTTTGCTTAAATTTCAATGATTTATTAAAGGATATTTTTGATTTTAACACCTGACAAAAGCATGAAATTGGTTTTTAACACCCCAAAAAAAAAAGTTTGATTTTAACACCAGACAAATATCATGAAAATTGTTTTTACCACCACTTAACGGTTTCCGTCCCAAAATTCCGTTAAGTGTGGTCCACAGTGACACGTGTCACCATTTTACTTGTTTTAAAAAAAATAAAAAAATTAAAAAAAATAAAAAAATAATTTTTTTTTGTTTTTTTTTTGCCAATAATAAAGCGACACGTGGCTCATGACCCCACTTAACGGATTCGTAAACGGAATCAGTTAAGTGGTGGTAAAATCCAAATTTTTTTTTTTTGTCTGGTGTTAAAATAAAAGTTTTTTTTTTGGAGGTGTTAAAAAACATTTTCAGCCTTTTGTCAGGTGTTAAAATCAAAAATATCCTTTATTAAATAGAGGCGATCACATAATTATTAAATATTTACAATGACACCATCCTAAAGATGGATGTGAATAAATGTCATTGACTATAAATCAAATGTAAATGCTCCAATGAATATTAATGTCCCAGAAGGACAACATTAATGCTAATAAACCTAAAGCACGTTTGAAGCGTGGTAGCCCAATAGGTTTTAAAGATAAGAATCTTAAAACATGAAAAGAGCCATTATTAACAATAGCAAATTTAAGGAAGTGATACATTGTGATAAATCTCTAGAAGAGATTATGTTTAGTAAAATTGATATGTATCATTACTATATAAAAGACTCTAGAAGAGTATGAAATGTCTAACAAGATTAGCATATATCAAGATTATACTTAATACTCCGGCAGAGTATAAGTTATAATTGGATCAAATATTAGTTGATTGTCTTGCCAAATGTAGAAAGAAACTACATGTTATTGTTCTTATACACATTATATTCATGGCCGT